CGTGGAGGGAAGCCTGGCACAGTTACCAGAGTGTTCATCCCAAAGCCTCCACTTACTGAAAATGTGGGACTTTGGACCCAGGGTTTCTGAGGTTAGGAAACTGGTTTGTTTAAGTTTGTTCTCACTGATAAGTCTTTGTGCTGACTCCAGCATGTTCAGTTTCAGTTCCAAGAATAAGTCAGGTGTTTGTGTTTGCATAAAGAAGGTAATCCTGGGGGCACCTGGGTGGCTCAGTAAGTTAAGCGTCTGCCTTCAGCTCAGGTCATGATCCCAGGGTCCTGGGATGAAGCCCCACGTCTGGCTCCCTGCCCAGCAGGGAGTCTGCTTCTCCCTCTCCCTCTGCCTGCCGCTCCCCCTGCTTGTGCTCGCTCCCTCTCTCTCTCTGTCAAATAAATAAATAATCTTTAAAAAAAAAAAAGCTAATCCTGAAAATGATAGAATCACATTTTAGTTTCTCAATTTTCAGTGCTAAAGTAGTTTAGAAAGAAAGGGCACCCTGGCTGCTCTAGGCTGATTTTTGGCCCCCATATATATTTAAATCAACTCACTGTAATTGATATATAATCAATCAATCAAAGATTTCAGATTCAAATCTTGTTTGAGACTAATCTGGTTAAAATTTCTGCATCACAAACTAGGTAGAGTGAAATTTTACAAATGGAGGTTATATTAGTGATTATGCTTTATCAGAAATTAGAAAAATTTCCAGGGGCTGTGAAGTCTTCTGAGTCTACCTCTTAACAGTTAAAATGTGCTGGTTGGACTCTCCTCTCTTCTGTCCTAACGAGGCTAAACCCGGTTGGTTCCACAGAGTGCTAGCACCACCTGCTGGCTACTTCTGGAATGACAGTCTCATAACCAATAGATGTTACAGTTTTTCTGTTCAACTGTGCAGCATCACAACCCTTTGACAGCCTACACTTTTTGTTATTACCATCACAGATAGGAAAACGGAGTCAGACAAGATCCCCACACAATTCTTGTTCCATCCGCAATATCTGGAACATAAAAGCCAAAAGTATTTAGATTATTGTATTTAAGCCTATTTTTGAAAATAAGTTTTAAAAGTATTATTTACTGTAAACAGTTCCTATTTGGAGAAGCTTTACCAGCCATTAAAAACCGAAGCTGTTGGGTCACAAAGGAAAAAGACAGCAGGTAGGGTAGAAGGAAACCCCAGTGCGTATAATCTGTCTGGGGTAGCAGTCCTTCATGAGCTCGGTTCTTGCCACCTGCCCCTGGAAAGTAATACAATGTCCCACGTGCATGTTCTGTTCACAACTTCACCTTTCAGCGCTGTCACGTTTTGAGAATTTATAATCATTTCGGGTCTCGCCGTAGGTGTCTAAATTTTCCACCCCTTATGAAACCGAGAAGTCTGAAGGAAGGAACCCCTGTGCGTATGAAATTTTAAAATGAAGATTTAGTTCATATTTGCACTGTGGCCGTTGTGGGTCTGTCTTTCTTAAAAATATTTTCCTAACACATGTAAAGTAGCCATCATTTGATGGGAGGCACTTTTAAAACCATTGAGAAGGGTGATGTCCGGGGCCCCAGAATGAAGGGAAAGGTCAGGCTGCGGGGAGCCACTTGGAGGGTAGTGACTCTTTCATGCCCATGTGTGGGGTGTTGGGGGGGCTTGCTGCACTCTGAGCTCTGGTTGGTGGTGGTGGCTGAGGTATCTGCTGCTGTTAGGGGGGGTTTCACAGCATTCAGCTGGATCCATCATTTCCTGAATCCCTCTGCCTTTGATTAGCTGAGGCCCCTGCTGGGGAAGAGGCCAGTGCTGGTTGTCACCCGGTGGATGCTTTTCCTTAGAGAAAGGAGGACAGCACCGTAAGGAAGCTGATCCACATTGTCAGCTTGATTGTCACCCAGGAAGCCAGGATGGAGAAGCAAATGATAAAGTATGACCCAGTTAAAAAGCAGTCACCTGTCATTTCTGTTCTTGCAGCGAGGGATTCCGGCATCTTCCTTTGCCTGGTTAAATTTCCAGAGCCTCCTTTTATTTGGGGGCATGTTTACATTTCCAAGGAGTACCATCTGGCTGCTGTTCAGGAACATAAAGACAGGTCAAAGGAAGCAGTATGGTTCTGCACACTTCCACAAATAAAATCAAGCTGGCATGGCTGATGACTCACACACGATGCCACTTGGCTGTCAGGCCTGTGACCTCGAGCTGGTTGGCAGCAGGTTCTGGTGGGGGGCTGGCTGAGCATGGTGCTGAGAAGCATGAGTTAGGGTTACTATCCTATGGGGCAAGATGGAGAACACCCACAGAAATCACTAATGCTTGACTTCTGTGCCCTCTTCTGCAACTTTAATCAGTCAACAAACAGCCAGTAAACATCGAATCCCCTGCATGAGTCAGGTCCTGTGCTGACTGATGATAACTGAGCGGAACAGAGGCACCTGCTTCCCCCAGGTTTGTACACAGTGGGCTTGGGGAGACCCGCGGGTCCAGGAGCAGTCACAATGCTGAGCAGTGAATACTGCAGAGGTCAGGAAAGTTCTCTGGGAGCCCAGAGGCAGCTTGAGTTCTCTCTTCGGATGTGGGGAAGGCTTCACAGAACAGATGGCATGCGCCCACCCCTTAAGGGATGGGTGCGATGTTCCCACTTATGAGCCTGGAGGTGCAGGGAGGGCAGGGGGGTGTGTTTGGTTAGTGGGGACCTTTGAGGTTGGTAGGAGGGTATGGGGAGTCTCAGGGCACAGAGCTGGTAAGGTGGGCTGGGGTCGATCAGGGAGGGTACTTCTAGCCTTTTTATACTTCATTCTGGAAAATAGAATACCCTACCAGGAAGATAGGGCTGCCAGATAAAATACAGAACACCAAGTTAAGTTTGAATTTCAGATAAATGGCGAATAATTTTCTTGTGTAAGTCTATCCATACTATTGCATTATTCACTGCTTATCTGAAATTCACATTTAAATAGGTGTCCTGTTTATTTGCTAAATCAAGCCATCCTAAAAAAAAAAAAAAGATTAATATAGAGCAGAATGTGTGTATCTGACTATATATATAACTTTGAGGTTATAAACACGACTGTGGGCTGAACATTAGTTAAATCAAAGATGTACCCAAAAATATGTCACTAAGGCAAAAATGCAAGAATTATTAATCTACTAAAGATTGTTCAATTATGATTTATATCCTATAAAATGGGTATACATATGCTGCATACATTGATCATCCAAGAGGCATCCAATCTTCCTCCAGATGTACCTACAGAATATAAAAATACAACCACCGTGTGATCAACTTGATTCGTTTAAAACTTGTATTCTCGAGGTAATGAAAGTTGAACTTGAATAATAGTTTTGTTATCCTAGAATAAAGCGTTCAGTGGGGATGATTTATTTAATTGTCCTCTCTTTAAAAACAATTCTCCAGAGGGTTTTGCATTGGGCATCTTTCCTGTATAGACTCCCTTGTAGCAAGCAGAAAATGAAAGCATTTTGGTGCAAAGCATGCGCGCGTGTGTGTGTGTGTGTATTTCCAAGCAAGGAATTTGGGGCCTGGGGAAGAAGCATCCTGAGCATCTGGCACTCTTTTCTTTCTTCTCTCTGCTCCCCAGAATGTGCAGGGGGGCGTGGTGGGGCCTGGTAACCCAAGGAAGAGGGCAGAAGGTAGAGAAGGCCCCGTCCCTTTCTCCGGTGACTGCTGGGGTGTCATGCTGGGGTGTGTGCCTGGGCCATGTGGACAAGGGCCCCAGGTTGCTCAGCAGGTGAGCCACGGCCCAGCCAGCTGCCTTGGGCTCCTGACCCCTGACCAGCTGCTGGCTGGCCGCCTGGGCCCGCGGGCAGGCCCAGACAGCCCCTCTGACACCCGAGGCGGCCTGTGCTTTAGGAAGTTGGGAGAACCATTCCTGGCCTTGGCCGCGACTCAGGCTGCTTGAAGGATCCCCCCTGCGACAGTGCGGGCGTTCAGACATGTCCTCGCCCTGTGTTTGGGGCTGCCCCTGGTTCCAGGGACTGTGTGTTCAATCATGTAGTTTAGGAAATTAACTCGATGACTTCTGTAGGCTCAGTCGATGAATTGCCTGAAAACCAAGCCTTTCTCCTACAAAACCAAACCAAGCCGGAACTGAAAACCTTAGACTCAGCAACTGATCATGGTTCTGGGATGATCCGAGAGCCTGGTTTGGTAGTGGCTTGTGGGGACCGTCATGCTGGGTGGCACGAAGTATGGCCAAGAGGCCAGTGTCCTGGGGAATGTCATTCCCGCATCCCTAGGACGCTGATGTGTAGAAACCGAAATGAGGAGACCGGGTTCTTTCCTGCTCCCGGGGAGGCGGAAGCGCACCCAGGGCTCCAGGCCACCAGCTGTCGTAGTTTACAAACAAAAGTCTCTCCTTCCCAACCTCCACTCGGGGCCCCTGTTATGGGTAACGAGGGTAGATGTTCAGATTCCTGAAATGCTGTGAGTCATACCCACTTTGGTTCTTTTTCTGGGTGAAGATCTGACTTTCCGCCTTCCAAACCTAAGCATTTAAATGACTCATCTAGATATGGGCTCCATTTACATATGCTCTGTGGTGAGGTCAGCTGAGCAAGCCCTTTCCCCATGTGGCTGGGGCTGGGCAGGTGTGGGCCACCTCCCCTGGCTTGTCCAGGCTGTTCACGGGGCTGGCCCAGACTGTCCCATTCAAAGGGGACTTTGATCCCTGGCTTACACCTGCCTTCCCCACTCATTCCACTGTTCGCAGCCGGCCAGACTTCTCCTTTTGGGGGTGGGGGGGCATCATCCACCCTAGCACACATGTAAATCATTCATTCAGTCACTGAAACTTAAAATGAGGTTGAGAGCAGGGCTTTCAGAGTAGGGCTGAATAAATACTCCCAGACATCTTAGGTGGTTGGGGGGGAACACTGGGCCATGGCCTCCTTGTCATGGGGATATCTGTTGTTCTATATTTAATTTAGGAGCACATTTCCTGGTCTGGGTTTTGTTTTTGTTTTTGTTTTTTTGACTTTAGGCTTTCTGTCTCAATTCTAGGACTGGTGGCCATAAAGGATGCCCACGATATAGAGACCAGGCTTAATGAGGTGGAGAAGTTGCTAAAGACCATCATAAGCATGCCGTGCAAAGTAAGTACGATCTGCCCAGGGCTGGGGGTGGGAGCTCGGGACACATCCTGCCAGCTTCCAGATAACCAATGCACTTGCTCACTTACCTGCTTGCTCCCTCCCTGGACGTATCAGGCCACGGGGAGGGGCAGATACAACCAGGGGAAAGGAAGACTTTTGTGGGCTCTTTCGGCTCCATTGTTTTCTCCTTGGTAAGAAGTGGAAGTAAGGGGCCGAGTCGATGCTGAGTAGGAAGAGACATGGTCCGTCCACTGCCATGGTCTTTGCTTTCTTGCCTCCGCTCAGAAGCCCACCGGTCTTGCAGAGGGTGTTTTGGAAGAGGGTGTATGGGAGCCAAGGAGAGTGTTAGCATCCACGTTGGCAGATGGCCTTTAAATGAAGCTGGCAAGCTTTGTGTAGAGTGGTGGTTAAGACCCTGGGTGGACTTGGGGCCCACATCACTCCCGTGGGGTCCATTTCCTCCTCTGCAAATGGGGAAAGTCAGTACACTCAGTTTATCATAAGGTGAAGGGACAAGTGTGCAAAACCCTGGCATATACGAAGTGCTCAGAAAATCTCACCATCGAGGGCGCCTGGGTGGCTCAGATGGTTAAGCGTCTGCCTTCGGCTCAGGTCATGATCCCAGGGTCCTGGGATCGAGTCCCACATCGGGCTCCCTGCTCCTTGGGAGCCTGCTTCTCCCTCTGCTTCTCTCTCTCTCTCTCTCATGAATAAATAAATAAAATCTTAAAAAAAAAAGAAAGAAAGAAAATCTCACCATCGCTTCCATTCACCCCATCCTGTCCGTCCCTGGGGCCCTGCATTTTTGCCACATGGGAACATTAGTAAGTGAAAGGTGGGCCATGACTGCAGCCTCATCAGTATGGCCTGCAGAGCCACACTGTCCTGCCGAGCATCTGAACGGCGCAGGGGCATTCGCCTCACACGAGGTCATCTCCAGGGAGGATTCAAGTTTAGTCATTGACGCACTTATTCTCAGTATTCCAGGTCAGAAGTTGTGCTCACCTTCTTTGAAAGATCTCCTCTGGATCAGGTGTTAAAAAATGACAACGTACATAAAATTCAACCCAGCTTTCAGAGTCCAGTGAAAATATCAGGTAAGAGCTAGAGGGAAGGCATGGGGAGGCCAGGTCCTGCCGTGGATGGCCGTGGTTTTCCGGAAGCCCTCCCAGTTCGCTGGGCGCACCTTCTCCCCTTGGGATCCAGAAAGACGATCCAAAAGAATGATTTAAGAGTGGGTGGAGGCTGTTACCGGATTTTCATGAAACAGTGTTTTCCACCCACCGACCTACAGTTTACACTTCTCCAATTTCCAAAGGGAGTAACTCGGTATATCAGTCGGAACTTTCTTAAGAAACAGTGTCATGATGAACACATTAATGAGGCATTGGGAAGCGAACGACTGCAATCAGGAGTCTGTCCTGCTGAAATAAGATCGTTCACATAATGTGGCAGTGAATTTGATTTTAGGGCACCCAGGACAGAAAGGGGAGCACACAGTTTAGATGTCAATAGCGTTGACACCGGACCACGCCTTTGAGCCCCAAAGAGACGAATGTCAGCAGCAGTAAGAGCGAATGTCGGCTGACAGGAGCTGCTGGGGTGGATGGAAGGGGGCGCGGAATGCTGGGACTTCTCCCTGTTTGGTAGCTTTCTGCATCTGGGTCGCACGTGTTGTTAGAGCACTAGTCTTTTATTTTTGCATTACTGTTTTGGTGAAGGCTCCGTGCATTTTGTAGGGAAGAGAGCTCCATCCCAGAGTCTCAGACACGGGGCTCCCCCAGGCAATGGACAGTCAGCTTGGTTGGGCCAAAGAGGTGGCATGTGAGTGGGGTCATGCAGGAGTGTGGCCGGTGGAAAGGGAGGTAAGGCAGCTGTAAGAGGAGATAGAGCTTGGCCCAAGGGGAGATCCTGCAGAAGATGTTGATCTGAAGGAAGGAGAGGAAGAGGGATTCTGCGTCCAGCATTCTATTTCCAAATGGAGGAGGGAGGAGAGCAGAAGGAGCAATGCAGGAGGAAGACTCCAGAAGTTGATGAAGAACAGTCAGGAGATGAGAGTGCATCTGAGCCCAGAGCTGTCTCCTAAGAAGTCATCGGGGGTTCACAGTGATGGGGAGACAGAGGACAAATTGGGATGGTGGTGGCGGATGTCTCTGGTAGAAAAGTGTCCTTACTGAGCTATGTGCCACAGCAGGGTTGAGATTCCTAATTGTGTGTGGGGGATGGGTGGAGAGGGTGGGCATGTTCGGGGGACCTGAATGGAAATTGCATTAGGATATGGCTGTGTGTGTGCAGGATGGCTGGCAGGCCTAGGTTTTTTGGGGTCTGCTACTTTTGATGTCTATCCAACATAGCTTCCTGTGTGTTCTTAGGAAGAAGAGCAGGGGTGTTTGGGCATCCCTCCTTAACTGGCACCTAGTATCCAGAACCTTCTTCATAGGAGAAATGGTAGTCATTTATCCTGCTTGGGTGTCTATGGGCCCCAGTCTTGAAGGGCACAGCGAGGGCTCTGGGACACTAATTGTCACTCATGGTGGGTTTTTTGTTTTTTGTTTTTATTTTTTTATTTTTTTAAAGATTTTATTTATTTATTTGAGAGAGAGAGAATGAGAGAGAGAGAGCATGAGAGGGAAGAGGGTCAGAGGGAGAAGCGGACTCCCCGCTGAGCAGGGAGCCCGATGTGGGACTCGATCCCGGGACTCCAGGATCATGACCTGAGCCGAAGGCAGTCGCTTAACCAACTGAGCCACCCAGGCGCCCTCATGGTGGGTTTTATGTGCTGTCACCTAGAGCCTGGGCAAGTCTCTCTTCTTTCGTCCCGAGCAGAAGAGTCCCAGCACTGGTGTCTCCATTTTGCTTTCTTTCTTTCTGTTTTGAGCCAATAGGAGAGCAAAACGCACCAGAACTCTTTGAGGGCCAGGAGCTGGACACTGGCTTCTGGTTGACCCTGAAGGCCCCAAGCATGAGAGGGACAGACTTGGGCTGTGTGGAGTTGCTTCTCATTAATTCCTGGAGGGCAGCAACCTGGGAACACTCCCAGCTCTCTGTCTACTGTCCTATTTTTACCTGTGACAGAGATAGACGCCTGACCCACGTTTATCCTAAAGGACTGAAAATAATGAGGTGAAATTTAACAGGGGTAATTGTAGCCTCCCGTGTGAGGCTTTACCCCCATTCTCTGGGTCTTTTTGTGAGGAGTGAGGGCAGGTTTGAGCTTGCAGGGACACTGCTGTGGCGGGGGAGTAACTGCAGTGATTGGCTCAGCACAGACCACTTTATAACAACCGGAGCTCCGCCTAACAATGGAGTCTGGAAATATCTATTGCAAGTCTGTTTCGGAAAGCCTCATGCCTCCCTGCAAAGGCCAGGGGGCCTGTCAGAGGCATCCCTCGCAGGGTTGGCAGCCTGGGAGAAGCCTCTGCCACCCTTCAGAGCTTAGATTCTGTCTCCTGGGGCCTTCATTCTCTTCATCTGCTCCAATCGATTGGGCACCAAGTCTGGGGCTTCTCCCTTGGAAGCATCCCAACCTCCCCATCTCTGCTCCAGGACGAGCCAGCCCTCAGTCTGTCTGAGCGAGTGTTTCTCACCATAAGTCAGTGTGTAGATATGCAGACGATAATGGGGTGTCCCCCCGGGATGTGAGATATACTTTCGTTATTCCCTGAGTAAGGAAAGAGATATATTAAGACAATGAACTATGGTAAATTCAAAAATACTTTTCAATGAAACCTTTATTTACAGTAGCACTAACATCCCTTTGAAGAACTAGTCTACACATGGGCAAGCCGTGTTCTTCAGTCTTGTTCTCCCATGTGGGTGTTTGTGGCTTCGGGGCCCCCCAGGCTCGAAGCTTCAGGCTCTGGGCAGCATGACCACACCTGGGAATATCCACAGGTCTCTCTCTCTCAGCCTCCCCCCTGCCCCAGGACAGACCCTGAATACTGAGGTCGGTCATCCTGGAACTCTGACTTCCTGGGCTCGTTCATTTTCTCAAAACCTTACACTTACGATAAAGGCCGAGTGCCCTAGTCCTTCCAGCATGCCAGAGTCTGGCTCACTCTAGCTTTTTGATGCTGTCACCATAGAACCCTTTGCTCCAGACTGTCAGCCTCCCCTTGGTGGGGCTTTGCTGTGCTGTGGGCTCCCATCTTCCCTCTGTTCACACAAACCCCACCCATCCATCCTGTCCTGCTAAATTCCACTCATTCCTGACAATGCCTCTTCCCTGCGGCTCACCCCACCCTTCCTCCTACTTTTCTCTCCGATTTCTTAATGCCTTGTATACTGTTCATGTGGCACGTAGGGAGGTGGCACCATGGGGGACAGACGCTGACCTAGGCTGTCCAGGGCTTTTCTTTACACCCAGGCGTGCATAGAGGCTCGAGCGCACAGCTGTGGAGACCGTTTAGGGGCTGGGGCTCCGCTAGATGGCGCCAGGCGCTAGCCACGTCCCGGGGCCGCAGCAGTGAGAGACACTGTGGCCTCCTCGGGATGCTTCGGGCCAGTACAGCCTTAAACAGTCTTCCTCCCACGTGAATCTAAATGTTTTTGGAATCAGAAAAACTTATACATGGTGGTTGTGTCTGTGCTTAAAAGGAAGCATAAACCCCAGCCGTGATCTGGCTACTTGGACTAATTACGTAAGCCGCAAAAATCTAATTATTCAGGTTTGGGCGGGTGGGGGGGGGGCGGGCTGGAAATAAATTCTGATTTTGTATTTCATTAACCAAACATCTGTACAATCTCAACCTTAATTTTCACCGTACAAGGTTAGTCCAGTTCGCCAATTAATAAAAAGACGGTGCTTTGGGTTTTGTTAGATTACTGGACTCCACTGAAAATATAATGGGAGAGAGGGTTTGGATGGAGAGAAGCTACACTGTAAATGCTTTCAGGACTGAGCTAATGTCTGCAGAAAAAGAAGAACATAGCAATTACCAAACTGGAGGAATGATGGTCTATGGGGCAGATGAGAACATGGCTCTACACCTACAAAAATAAGACAGATCATCACCGGGTACACGCCACAGTCATACCATTGACCCTTGAACAGTGCAGGGGTTAAGGGCTCTGACCCCCTGCACAGTTGAAAATCCACATATAACTTTGACTTCCCCAAAACTGTTGACCTCAAGCCTTACTGATAACATTAACAGTTGATTAACATATACTTTGCATGTTATATGTATTACATATTCTTACACAAGTAAGCTAGAGAAAAGAAAATGTTATTAAGAAAGCCTAAGGGGGCGCCTGGGTGGCTCAGTTGGTTAAGCGACTGCCTTCGGCTCAGGTCATGATCCTGGAGTCCCAGGATCGAGTCCCGCCTCAGGCTCCCTGCTCGGCAGGGAGTCTGCTTCTCCCTCTGACCTTCCCCCCCTCTCATGTACTCTCTCTCTCTCATTCTCTCTCTCAAATAAATAAATAAAATTTAAAAAAAAAAAAAAGAAAGAAAAGAAAGCCTAAGGAAGAGAAAATACATTTATAGTACTGTACTGTATTTTTCCAACAAAACAAACCACATGTAAGTGGGCCCATGCATTTCAAACCTGTGTTGTTCAAGGTCAACTGTAATTGTTGCAAATATCCATTGGTGGATGCTAAGATGGGTGGGAAAAATTTGAGGGGAAACAGAATTTGCACAGTCTCAACGCATCTACCCCAAGATATTTATTCACTGCAAAGAGAGTGAACCTGGCAGAAACTTCTTATGCAAGTGATCCTGATGCACAGCCCAGGAACAAGGCCTGTTGACATCACACCCCCTGACAGGATGCAGGGAGGGGAGGCAGGGTCACTCTGCAGGATTCCTGCCTGGAAAGCTCCACATCAGTCAGAGCATGAAAGCATCAGACAAATTGAGGGGACCATCGATAAAATAACTCACCAGCCCCTCCCAAAGTGTTACTTTCATGAGAGATGAGGAGAGACGGGAGGTACCGTCAGAGGCTGCACAAAACTAGGACACAGCAACACAAGGATCCCCAACAGAGGATCCTGGGCTGGGTCTGGAACAGAAGAAAGGGACATTGGTGGAAAATCCGGGGACACTCCAATAAGGGAGGTGTCTAGTTAAGTCCAGCTTTGCTCATTGCACCATAGTTAACGTGAAATGTTAACATCAGGAGAAGCTGGTGAAGGATACATGAGAACTCTATACTGTTTTTGTAACTTTTCTGTAATTTAAAATTAGCTCAAAATAGATAAGAAATGGCAAAGCAGAACTCTTCATGTGAAAAAAATATGAATGCAGAAAAGTAGTTTGAAAGTGAACTGTTTCATGGAATCAGGCATGTATGGGATTAAAGTAATTACACTGGCCAGTGCTTTTTGCCTTTGGGACTAAGCCGACTTCTAAGATGTTCATATTATGCATGTTTGGAGATAGGCTTCAGATGTGAGCACTGTTCTGTAATCATAACACCTTCTTTGGTTCTATTTGCATATGACAGAACAGATATGAAGACATTAGCAGTAATGATAGTCACCACTACCCCTTACCCAGGCCCCCACATTTATTAGATTCCTTATAAACACCATCTCATTTCTTCTACACCTGTGCTTAAAGGATGGATACCAATGTGCCCATTTTACAGATGAAGAAAGTGAGCAGGCAGTAACGTGCTCCCCAGGCATGAGCAGAACTGGAGTTTACAACTTGCTTTGCAAACCATTAAACCACATGACTGTGAATTGAGGTTTCTTTGCAGGGGGAGTTAAGGAGTGATTTGTTACAAATCTGTTTTGTGGGGGCTGGTAAGGACTCCATTTCTTTAGAGCTCCAAATTTCACATTTAAGAAAGATTAGGAAGTTCGAAAGTTCCTCCGCAAGGTCACTCTTCGTCATGGTAAGAAATGTTTTGTTGCACTGACATGTGCTTTCACTTTAGGATTTCCCCCTCTAAACTCCCTTAGCGGAGGGGTGGCAGAAAGTGCTGGGGACTGTCAGCTGGCTGAGGTTGGATGTGCTTCTGAGACACACACATTTGAGTCAGAGTTAGTGAAAAGCAATAAAGAAAGTGGATGCGTGCTGCTGTACATTTTGATTTGAGAGGCAAGGGAATTTTAATCTTTCTTGTTACAATGTAGTCCTCTTCAGAGTCTGTTCACTCAGACTTAGGTAAACATCTCGCAGGTAGAAATGTCGTTGATCCCGGAGGTTCCAAGTACTACTTTTCATAGGGTCTTGGTGCTCCTTCTCATGACTTCAGGCTCTCCATGCTTGTCCTTGCACAGGGAGGGCGTGTGGGCTTCAACCCGGAGGGGCGGGGTAGGCAGGGAAGGGCAGGGAAGGGCATGTGCTGATGTCACCCAGAGTGTGATTAAGGGGGCTAGTGTTTCAAAAGACCAAAGCCATGAGCTGTCACTTCTGCAGAAAGTCAGGGGGAGATGGTAGCAATTACTTGGCAAATCTGATTGATGAAGTGTCGTTTTATTCCTGTGGGGCTGAGGAGGAAATCTTCTCTTTTTCTTTGTTCGTTTTTGTGTTGTTTCCCTAATTCTCTTCACATGGAGAGAAATTCGAAGAACTGAGAACCAGATATCTGGAAAGATTAAAAAGAAATAGGAAGTTACAATTATACTTACGAGAAAAGCAAAGCCATGCATGGGAATAAAAAAAATTCTAAATTATGATGGGACGTTAGAAAGAAATTAAAAGAAAACAATCCCCTAAACGATTGTGGCAGATGCCCAGGGAGACCGTGGACAGTGAGGAATGTTTTTGTTACCTGTGCCGGGCCAGTAGGAGAGGAAAGCTATTTCGAGCTGTGTGTTTCAGTGTGTGAGGCTCTGAATGGGAAGATGATAAACCTTTGGATTTGAGAATGCCCCAGAAATTCAGTCAATTTTAAGCATGTTTTTTTAAGATGAGGCAAGGAGAGGACCTGATTTGAGGACAGACAAGGGCTGCGAACTTGGTACTTAGCTGACTAAGAGCTGAGGTTAGGGGCTCAGGCAGCCTCCCAGAGGGCTGGAGAACTCCAACACCAAGGAGAACTGGTAATGGCCACCAGATCAGTTCTTGGAGCGTATTTAATCTACCGAAGTGACAGAAACACATTCCCTGGGGAAATGTAAATAAAAGCTACACCAGATATGAGAAGTCAGTCAAGCCACATTGACTCTTTATACTTAAATGGACCAGATGGCTTGATGGAATCCGGTAGTTCCTGGGAGTTTAGAGTTGAAGGGGTCCTTGGAGATCACCCAGTACTATTCTGAAATTCTCCAGTTGAAGATACTGAGTCCCAAGACCATGGAGCTCATGGTTGAGCTGAGCTTCGGTGTCCAGGCTCCCAGTCTGGGGTTGTGTCAGCTGACACACATCCAGGCATGCCTGTCCTCTACTCTCCCAGGGCTGGGTAAGCACCAGACCTCCATGCTTGGAGGCTCACTCCATAAGGCCAACGTAGACTACTTTGTTGGCCTTTTTAAATTACCAAAATTTGTGTGTACAGGTAAAAAAAAAATCAATTTGTGTATAGAACTAATATAAAGGGAAAAAATGAAGTTGCCCATTTGGTTTAAAATGCGTACTGATCTCAGCTGACCCTCACAGTGACCCAGGGCAGTAGACAGCGTCATCCCCATCTCAGGCACAGGAAAGGTCGGGTACCTGTGCAAAGCCTCGTGGCAGTTTGATGGACCCAGACCCAAACCCAGACCGATAGACATGAGCTCAGTATTCTCTCTACCCCAGCTTTAAACCAATGGGGAAGGCTTTTGGGGAGGGTGCTGGTACAATTCAGAGCATCTTTCTGGAAGGAGGGATGTGCCCCTTGGCTTGCACAGGGTCCTCAGGTGTGGTTTCTGTGGAGGTTGGCATCGGCTCCTGTCTGTGTGGCAGAGTTCCAGGATGGGTCTCTGGGGTGTAGAGCATTCTCTTGGAGTGCGGGGGAGAATTTGGGGCAGTAGATGGAGGGGAAAGTAGGGAGATTGGTATAAGCCCAAAACTTCAAAATCTGGCCCCTCCTGCATATTTATTTCATTGCTTTCATTTTTTCAGAAATCATGAGATCCAATGGATTTTGCTTAGCAAATACGGAAACCATCGTTATTGACCACAGTATACCAAACGGAAAAGACCAACGCCTGGGTGTGGATCCGACAGAGCATTTGTAAGTAGATTGATTTGAATATAGTTTTATAGAAGGGATCCCTGAACTGTCAGCTGGTGCCAGAGGCTGGAGTTCATGGCCCATAGAGGAAGCAGATGTGGCCAGAGACATTGAGCCATCCTACCTGTATTTGGATACTTATTTAAAGTGTTTGCCTTTTCTAGAGGCAGTGAGAGCTTGCTTCATAAACCTTGTGGGAACAGAGTTCCTTTGACCAAGGTGCTGGCTATGAGGGGCATCGAGGGCCAGCCTTCAGGGTCCGGTCTGTGCTGGGCCCTGTGGAGGTATGGCGGCCATAAGCCTCCTCGCTCCAAGGGCCTGGTCTCCTGGGATGGGGAGAAGTGTCACCTGTATGGCGTCACATCACAGGTCTGGAGGCTCTCTGGGCTCTGAGGTGACCTCTCTAGGGCTCACGGGCTGGAGCCTAGACCTGCTGGGCCCCTGAGGGGAGGGAGGATGTGTCTGATTAGTGAAGACAGGACAGCCAAAGACACCACCGCCTTCCCTGTCCCTCCTTCTCTAATAACAGAACTTTTAAGCATGATAAGCGGTAAGTGCTCTAGGAAAGCCCGACACCTGGGGTCCCCTCGAGGCACAGCCTCCTTCATCCCTGGTGCATTTCCGGGTCATGTCCTTGGGACTTACTGGGAGGCAGCTTGAGGGGACATCTCAACTTGGCTTCTGTTGACTGTCAAGGTCAACCCCACGGCTCCTCCTGGTTATGTGAGCTTCAGGAAGTCATTTCACCTCTCCTGGCTTCTCTTCTCTTCAGAGTGGGGCCCCTGAGGCTCTCCCAGGGTCACTGTTAAGGTCTCAGATGGTAAATGGCAGCCCCCCTGGCCCAGGAGCCCCCACAGGCAGTGCTGGGTGCTCAGTCTCCCTGTGGGCCCATGAGTAGTGTGCTCTGGGCTGCAGGGGCCTTGGAGTCCCACATCCTACCCCACCCACTGAGCTGCAAATAAACACGCACTAGGACAGACTCCTGTGCGGAGACACACCCAGGCCCAGGATGTCCCTGAGCTCCTGCAGGCGGCTGGAGCCGCCTCCGCTGGACCCTTGTTCTGTGATCGAGCACCGCAGGAGCCCCGACAGGCCCGTGGAACCGGCCCTGGCCAGTACCTCCCACTTTCTGTTTCTCAGATGTCTCTTGGGTGGATGGCACAAGGATCCCTCACCATGGATGTCATGAAATGCTTGTGTAAGAGGATATGCTGGTAAGGCTGCCGGGGGTGGCCCTTCTCTGAGAGGCCCTTGTCCCTTTGCATGCCTTGCTGTGACACCACATGACATCCTACCCACGGTGTGTGTCTATAGATAGCTCATTCGTTCACGAGCCGGGGGTGCTCCATGATAGCACAGGGCTGGCGCCGAGGGGGTACGAGATTGCTATGTATTAAGTGTGTGACCTGGAGGAGAGGTCCTTTAGCTTTATGGGGGGAGCTTCTAGTGAGGGGTTGTCTTGGTGGATGAGGGACAGAGGCAGACCCTCCCTCATCACCAGCTCTGGCTCCACAGTATCCCCCAGAGGGCCTTTTCCATCGTCAGGAGGCCTCAGAGGCCTTCCTGCACCTGGCCACATTTGACAAGTAGGTTGAACTTTGAGAAGCACACAGAGAGAAAGCAAGGGTAGTAACGTGACCCCACGCTTGGCATGGGCAGGGATGACACACCCTTAGCATGGGGCCCCCTGGCTCCAGGATGCCTGGCTGGCAGGAAACCGAGCAAGAAAAGCCTCCGTGATCCCAGAAAGGCTTAACAAAGAAACGGTGGCTTCCCTACGGCTCAGGGGAGCATTGAGAGGGAATTCCTGATGCGGGCTTGCCAGGGTTTTCTCTGGGTGGCTGATGTAGGGCAGCGGGGCTGAGCTGATGGTCGGCCACTGGCTGTCTCTCGGGAGCAGTCTGTTTTAACACTCCACGGGGCTGTCAGGCAGGTGATGGGGGTTGACGATGGAGACGGGAGGTCACAGAGAGATGACGTTTGAGGAACAAGGCTTTGCCTCCCTGCCACAGCCATCCTCAGTGGTACCCGAGGGTGACCATTTGACCCTGACACTGTGAATTCGCTGTCGAGCCTGCCATCAGGACTTGTGTCGTGCAGCCAAGAGGGCGGTGTCCACGCTTCTGGGGCAGGGAGGTCTCCGAACCCAGGCGCAGACCCCACGGCACTCCGGGAGCGGGGTGTGAGTCAGCGGGCCTGTGGGGGCCTCTGCCTGGTGATGATCCTGGTTGGCTGGCGTGGTTGCCGGGCTCCCAGGAAATCCACCCAGGGGTGAGGCGAGTCCCCGACTCTGTCCTCACAGGTTCGGAGCAGAGCTATTTGCCAGGCCTGCTGAGGGCCACTGGGGACTGGCGGAGGCCGCTGGACTCGGCCTGGTGACTCATTTCCCCCAGTGTCCCAGCTTCCCCTCCCTCCCTGGGTTCTCAGGGTCATCTGATCTGAGCACAGGAGGTGGAGGAAGGGTAGGAAACTGGGCAGGCCTTCATCTTGGCCCTGCCCCTCCCCTTTGCCTGCATCCAAGAGTCCTCTTCTAATTCTTCCCAATGCTGGTTTCCCGCCGGGAAGAGACCACGTCCTGGAACAAAGTTGGAGAGTTGGTCTTACCTCCGTGAGACTTGCTGCCTGGGAGGCTGTGCACACTTGTGTCGGTGCGCGGCTAGATCTTTCTCGGCAGCCTCGCCTACCCGGGCCGGCCGTGGCGGGGGGAGGAGCCGGCCCTGCCCCTGCCCCTGCGGCCGATTAGGGGAGGCCCCGCGCATCCCCCCACACACCCCTCACTGTGGAGATAGAGGACAACGTGCTTCCTCGGCCTTTTCGAGCTGGTTTCAGACCTCCTTCTCGTTTAACTTCCAGCTTAGACTGAGAGGAAGTGAGCCCCATGGTCAGAATCAGTGGGACGCTGCAAGAGGCGCTCTGCGTGGGGCGGGGGCTGGGCCTTTTCTCTGCCCCCCATGCGGCTCCAGTCTCAGTTTATGTGCTTCCTGGTCACACCCAACCTGGAGCTCCAGCTCCAGGTAGAGTGGAGCTCCTCCAACTAACTGCCCTAGTTGGTGAGGCCCTCAAGTGCCAGGAATCAACTCAGGGACACACGGTGCGCTGTGGGCTACGCGGGCCCCTTCCTCCAGGGAGAGCCCCGGAGAGCAGCGAGCGAGCCTCTGCCCGCCTCCACCCTGCCCCCGCTTTGTTGGGACTGATCCTTAGTTGAGGAAAATGGAGAAAGCACAAGCAGCATCTCTGTGTCCCTTCCTGGGGAGAATGTCCTTCAGGCACTTGTTTCTCCGTTTTAAAAATCTGGAGCCTTGTTTTCTAGCTTAGGAGGCCCTGTCTGGGTTAGACAGGGGAGTGGAAATGGTTTCAATTCGTGGGGGAATCCCTATCAGGAAGGCATTAGTCGCCTTATGTTTGGAGTACATACTCTTCCTCAGCATTTCCTGCCTGCCCTCCCCCGTGGAAGCCCCCACATTGAATACACCGCCCCTCTAGAAGGAACCCTCCCTCCACGACCTCCCTCAGCCCCCCACCCAGATCCTCTCTGGATGGCTGTTCTCGGTCCCGAAGTCACCGGCACACATGTCCCCCGGATGTGGTTGGGTTGTGAGCTTGTGACCACCGTGGCTTTTCCCACTCATCTGTGCTGCTGTCTGTGGGGGCCCCACATGGGGTGGTCTCCCGTCCCCATGGACTGGCTCCCTGCCTTGCTTCCTGCCATGTCCCCAGAGCTCAACGCAGAGCGATCCCTGGACAGAGAAAAAGAATCACTCTGTGAATGAATGAATGCCTCAATAAATATTGGTTCCTGAATAGGGATAGCAGGGTCTAAGGCAGTAACAACCAGAGCTGTCACGCCTTTTAGAGAAGGGTCCATTTTGCCTCATTGATTTGTAACCATGGTTCTTCCCACTCTTCCTAAACCTGCATTGAGAAGGCCGTGCCCATTGGTCTGATGAGCCCATACCTCATGAGGAGCCTTGTGGAAAGCCCTTCCACAGTGTTTGGCATTGACCCCTAAGCGCCCTCCTGCCAATGACCTTCTGCCCTTTCTTTCTCCACTTCAGTGGGCCTGGTGGGGGGGCGGGGGCGGTTGGTCAGTAAGCCAGCCCCAGCCTCACCTCTGAACTTTCCTTTTCAGGTTTGAGAATGGCGGTGAATTTACCTCAGAGCTGGAAGATGGTGATGACCCAGCAGCTTATGTCACCAACCTATCCTATTACCACCTGGTCCCCTTCGAGACGGACATTTTGGACTGAGTCTCTGGTGGGCCCCCACCTCCCCCAGGCCCTTGACTGCTGGTTCTGCCCCGGCTGCAGGGGCCCCCTGCTGCCCCAGGCCTGGGTCAGGGGGTATCTCCTCGGTAACAGTGCCCAGGAGGCCTGGGTGTCCTGCCCCTGGAGCAGTGGGGCTTTCCTCTGGTGCAGGGCCTCCCACAGCCACCTGACCACCCCTTGCTGCCCACCATTCCCTCACACGACAAGCACACACGACATGGCCTGGGAGGTGGTGAGAAGTTGCCACGGTCTGGACAAGACGGGCAGGGAATGTGAGGTAATCCAGGATTTCCCTGGGAACCCGGATGTGTGGCTTTCATTTCTGGTTTTCATTTTCTCTCCAGAAGCTGTGGGTCTGGTGTCAGCCAAAGGGGCTCTTTACAGAAGGTTCCTTGTGGACGGCGAGGGTTGGCTACAGAGACAGGGCAAATCATTGCCAATCAGGTGCCTGTGAGCAGGGGCTGAGAAGTACCGATTCTCCTCCAGAGAAAAGAGTTCCTGCCTGGCCTGCCAGCATCTCTAAAGCCCTTCAGTGGAGTAGCCGTGCTGTAACCACCCCAGGTTGTGGGAGGTTCACCTCTCCTGCTGTTTACCAAGCTCTCAGTGACATCATTGCCATATTTACCTGCGGGGAGGGGGGGGCAGGGAGATCAACAGGAAAGCACTGGCCAAGTCCCCTTTTGCCCCTTGCGGGGGGCAGGGGGGGGGCCGTGCGCAGGCAGGTCTGGGTTCTGTGTGCTTATCTCCTCATGGGGTCTACTAACGACCAACATTTGCTAATGTAAATAATAGTAAATTATTGAGAATCCTAATTCTTTTACACAGTCTGTTTTTTAATCTATTTTAATTAAATAAAGTGCATTACTCTGCTCCTGGATTTAGGATGTTTGGTGTCTAAAGGTATGGCTCCTTTTTATTCCCCGCCGCCTCAGGGCTAGCCCCGAGCACTCTGGTCTCATTGTTACTTAGGAAATGTGTTCTCTTCTCACCCTAGGGAATAATCTGTTCAAACTGAAAAGTGAACAAACAGCTTATGTTTTTTGATTTTTGTTTTTCTGACTTGGGGTTGCCCCCCTTCTCCATGTTCCTCTTGGCAGCCCCAGGAACCCTCCTCTGACCCAGTCGCCTAGCATATGGCATTTCCATGAGATCTGCCTTTCCCTTCTGCCTTCTGGTTGTGCTCCGTTGAATGCATCCTGCTTTCAAACAGGCTATTGGCTGGCTGATGGGGGTTGGCCAGTTGCCTTTCTTCTCTTGCGGGGTAAATTCAGTTCTTTACAGGGATAGGGCTGCTTGCCTCGCAGTTAAGGTTAGAATCAATCACCATGTTTAGTTAATGACCATCTATGTTTCAGTTGGTGATCCTCAGGATCCCTGTTCCCCAGAGGTGCTTCTTCCACGCTACCCAGCAGCTGGCCAAGCTCCTCTGCTTACTTGGACCGCATTTCCCCATCGGGGCCCAAGGTTGGCTCCACAAGCCTCTTCACTGGTTCCAGTCAGTGCACCATGAGTTTCCTCGACTAGGGCGTCAGGTGTTTGGATATTTGTTCTCCTATGAAGCACATCAGAACATTCTCTGGCTTCCTTTTTTTTTTTTTCCTGGAAGAACACAGATAGGCTCATTCTTCTCATTCTGACATTTGAAAGAATCCGAAGTACAGGTAAATATTTCTTTAAGTGCAGTGGTCATTGGTCGCTGGCACTCAGCATCCCTGTGGGAAGGCAGTGTGGAGTGGTGGGGACTGGAGCCGACACAGAGCTCATGCACTGTGTAAAGGAACAGTTAGCACCACTCCGTTTAGCGGACTGTTCCGGCCGGGAGTGTGGGCCCAAGGTGGCCAATCCTCCCAGGTTTTCAATAGGAGCTGGAAATCTGACGTTTTATGTGAAATATCCCAATTTTGAAGGGTTACAAAAAAAAACACCAGGGACAAGAAGCTTTTCCAAGTAAAAGAATGAGGAAGTTTCACCTTCTAAACTGTCAGTTCAGAGAATCAATACCAGACAAGTTCAAGTTCACGTAGGAAGTTTGCACTCTTGCCCACACATTTCTCCAGAGACTGCTTTAGAACAACCTGCCTCTCTTCTTCCTCTGTGACGTGTCCCTCGTTCTGCCCTGGTAACCAGGAGGCCCTTGGCAGCAGTGGCCTGGACACTCCCCTTTGTTACTGACTCATGTCAGAAAACTCACTGGATAGGCCCCTGCACAGGGGTTTGCAGTTAAAACGATTTTTTGGCAAATCAAATGAAAGTCACCTACATTTTCTATTTGAAAGGAACCTTCAGCAAATGCTATTTATAGGCAGGGGGATCATCTGCTCTTTGTGTTGTAAATAGATGCTGTCTTTCACGGATGAGGTTTGCTTGAAGTGAACATGCACAATGAGGACACGATCTAGGTCTGCCCTCTGATGAGCCTGCAGAATTGACATGCCGGGCAGTCCACGTCCTTGCTGTGGGACAGCAGACGGGCACAAGCTACCTGGTAATTGAGCGGACTGGGGGCTAATTAAGAAGCACCCAGTTCTCACAGATAGAACATTCATTAATAGAAATATATGCAGGGTGCTGGCAGCCAAACTGCCCTGAGCAATATGTCCTAACCTTAGCCGCTTTCTCCTCCTGGGGATCGAATTCGTTCGTGGTCTTCATTTAAGAGGGCATTCTGTCAAATTACAAGCATTTTTATTGCAGGTGAAATTTCTCACCCACGTCGGGGGTGCTAAAGTACTTCTTGCAGACCAGTTTCCTACTCCAGGTGCATACTGTTTTCAAATATAGATTTTATGATTATATGGGCATGGGCATGGCAAGGCCAACAGGTCAGATGACAGCCATTGAAAAGATAGTTTGGCACTCAGACCCCAAGAGGAGGGAGACACAACACCAGCAGGGCCACATGGGGAAACACCAGGGCTGATCAAGAGGCAGAGAAGGTGGGGGGGCAGGGGATGCTGTGGGCAAGAGCCTTTATTGTGATTTCCACAGAGAGGAGCAGGCGAGGCAGGGTAAGCAGGTTTCGGATTAACCAGGTTGAATAATTTCAGTGGGCTCTGGGGCACAGGGCTGCCCCCAGGTGTCTGATACCTGTCTTTGCGGTGATTAGGGCAGGTGGACAGTGGCCCAGAGTATGAGAGCCCATAAAGGAGGTGGTGAGGTGTGGGCTCTGCACTGGTTGGTTTGCATTTAAAGGTGGGCTCAAAGGCAAGTTGTTCACTATTTCTAGGAATTGGCTAATCCTGGGAGGTGCAGTCCCTCCAACATGAGCAAGGCCCCAAGATGCCTAAGCATCAAATACAGAAACTAGAAGATGTAGTTATCACATAAATTAATCCCTATGAGTCCTTGGTCTACAAAGGGATCTGATTTTATCCCCTGCTGAGGACACAGAGGAAACTAAAAATGTGACATAACTTTATGCTTCATGCAAAAATCTTCCAACAGGTACAAAGCTCCACATAGATATAGATGTTGCTTTTTCTTAATTTGAATGGGTAACATATCCCTGCGGTGCAAAACTCAAAATTATTTAAAGGGTTTTATACAGAAAGTATTGTTCCTATTCCTGTCCCCATCCTATCTCCCCTAACACTGATTAGTTTCTAGCACAGACTTGTAATATTTCTTTATGAAAATACCAAATAAATATGAATATACATATTTTTTTAGAAGTCTATGTAACTTAGCATTCATGGTCATTAACAATGTGTCCTGAAGCACTTCAGAACTCGGTGGTCTGCTCAAATGTGGTAAGTTTTACTTCTAATCAGAGTCTGAATGACTAAAGGACTTGGCAGGTATGCAGTGTCACATATCTTAGACATGCTTAACTTTATTGGATTGCTGGGCAAAGTGTTAGAATTTCTATTATTTATTCCTGTCTATTTTGGGGCTGGGGTGAAGATAGGGGTGGTAGGAGTTGGCAGAGGGTTGTGAATTTGCCATAAACTAAGGGCTGCTCTTGGTCTTAAGATAGTAAATCCTGAGAGCAAATTTTTCTTCTGTGGCATATTCACATTAAACAATCTTGAGACAGATGTCTAAACACCAAAATGCCTGGCCACTTATTTGTTTACAATAGAAACAACTGATCCAGAAATCAGAATCCTAAGAAGTTATGGCTGGCCAGTGTATTCATTCCTGGCAAATGGGAAAAGTGGAATAATGATCTAAAGCTTGTTCATGAATATGGAAATCAGAAGAGAGGAGATCAACTAGATTAAATACTACTGGAAATATCATTGGTACCAAGGCTTTAGAATTCTATGGAAGGCATTTTGACACCACACAAAGTCAACACATTAAGTTTTTAAAAGTGACTGTTCTGTGTTTTTTCTCATTTCTCTGTGGACAAGTGAAAATTTGTCATGGACAAGCTATGAGATTATTGGAAACCCCAGCGTTGAATGGAGAGACAATAGAGAGGAACTCACCAATGGAAAAACCAAGCAGTAACATCGCCAAAGTCAGGGATGGCCTTGCCTATAGGCAGATGTGACTCAAATATTCAGATGAGGGTTATGCGAGGGCAGACCCTCTTCTTGGTCCTGCAGCATCCTTGCTCAGTAGGGAAACTTCTCCAGGAAGAGTTTGTTGTTGGTGGGAAGATGGGACACATAAGGTTTCGTGCCTTATGTTCTTTTGGGTAAAACAATTATGGCTCCCTACTGAACCAAACACTCAGACTTGGTTGGGTTGGTCAAGATTTCTCCACCAGATGGTGACTGGTGGGCACTGAACAAGTTTACTTCTGCAGTAATTCAGACAGGTCTTACAGTCAAGTCTTGGGATCCATTCTTCTAAGGAGAATTTGCATATCTTAGTTCTAATCAATTGTTAATTTTTTAGTATAACTCACAATGGCAACCTTTTACTATTATTATTTGACTTTAGTTTTGGGGCAGGTATTGTTTGCACATGGTACAAAATTCAATAGAATACAAAGTGGTGCTCCTTGAAAAACAAGTTCCTGCCCATTATGCCCTGGCTACCCTAGGGACAAGCATT